ATAAAGTTGATCGTATCGCAATTCTTGTGAGTTACAATGGCACAACCAAATTCCTCAGCGCACCAAATATAGCCCGGTCAACTGGTGAAAATATTGGTAATATTGTTTATGAAAAATTGGTGGAGCGGAATCTTGTGAATCAAGTTTAAGGTATGTCCTTTGATACAACTGCGAGTAATACAGGCACTAAAACGGGAGCTGCTTTTTTGTTGAAAAAAAAATTGGTCGCGAAATAATGAGGTTTCCTTGTCGTCACCACATATATGGAATTATTTTCCGTGCTGGTTTTGAATTGAAACTAAATTCAAACAATGTACCTGATGTTAAAATTTTTGAACGTTTTACGAAGACTTGGCCGAAACTTAACCATCGCTCGTCTAAAAGTGGAATCGAAGATGTTATCATTTGCTCCAGTCATAAATCCCGCAGAATGTTTGCTTTATCGTCGGCGTTTTTGCAAGATGACCCATCGACTTGGGAAATGACTATCGAATATTAAGGTTTGACCCACTGTCAGAATTTATTTGTTGTAATTGGTACTGCCGAGCGAGGTGTAAAATTTATCAAAGATTTAAATAAAATATTGACGAGCGATAAAGAAGAAAAGCAATTGCCGTTTCAGATTGTTAAAGTCTATCGAAAGAGATACTCTTCATACAAGAAATCAGATTTACACCCCTATTCTGCAACTCTTTTGTATTCGGATTTTACTACGAATCGTAGAAATAGTATGCTGCAATCCGAATGGTATTTTCGAATTTTCGAAATTCGTACCAATGGTATGCCTAAAAACGAACGAGTAAGCTTTTTTGCGTAATTGTGTACGAAAACAATTCTTTGTCGGAGGCGAAATAAAAGATGTAAATCGATGTGTGTTTGCAAGAAATATTGGTGGTGTTCATTTAAACAGATAAATTTGCCTTTCGCATATACGTATATTTTTATCCACTGCGCTGTATAAACGAGCAAAAAAGAATATTTGTTGCCCCTTATCAAGAAACTTGGGTCCGGTTTAGTTAATGTACAACGATTTTCGGTTGTTGTGTCCAAACGCATAACCCGAATCCAAAAACTTTAACATACACATGTAATCAAAGGATTCACATCTTATTTAAGATAAATGTTTCCTACCACTAGCTTATTAATAAACTCGGTTTGCACTATGACCTTTTTTGCAAATTTCGACGTGGGTTCTGCGCAAAAATATATGCACAAGAAATGTTGTATACTTTTGACATGCGGAAGCCCCTCTTCTCCGCAACTCAGAAAGGAGAATTCTACTTAGTAAGGGGTATAATCCCTAAGCGCGGCCGAAGGCAGAAGCAAGCGCAACAGGTGGTGGACCTAACAAAGTGCATGTTTTCAATGGCTTGAAAGAAGCTGTTATTGCATTAACTGGATTGGAACCAGAGCTTCAGGCATAGGAGGAGTTCTGGCTTGTGGTTCAACAATTCAACCAGAAGCTGACATGGATGCGCCCATGGTTACTATGCCCGACAGCTCCGCATATCTTTGTGAATCCATTGCCATAGCGCCCGCTTACTCTGCTGCTATAATTGCAAATACACCAGAATCCATAATTTTCCTCGAAATATGTAAAATTAACCAATTTTACCATAAACAAGCACATGATGAGTGTTTTTTTAATTCCTTTCCACTTTGTTTTCCTTCATTCAGCTATCTTCGAAAAACAACTGATAGCTGGCAATGCTGCACATGTTTCCGCAAGGGTTGCAGCATGTGGATTTTTCGTTTTTCGTAGCGTAGCTACGAATTATGAATTACGAAAATTCGGGTTCTAGAATAAGCTGGTTTGTTTAAAAAAATAAATAATTTGTTCATGTGTTCTTGGAGAAGTAAAATAAATTCATAGTTTATACCTACAAAGAGTGTTATTTAATACAGCATACGTTTTTAACAAATTTTATGAAATGCTGTAAATTCAATAATATTGCTACATCGATATCAATAATAAAATAACTTAATTTTTGAAGCAAAAACCATATTTCTTTTTTACGTTATTTTCGCTTCTATCAAGCGTTATCCTATTGACCCCAAATTTTTACTGTAAGTATTTCAGACGAAAAGAAACAAATATCCGGGAAGCGCCCGATGAAATTTTGAAATTTTGATTTGTACAAATAAGGGCACTCTTAATGTACAACATACCTCTATTATTGGTTACAAGAATTTTAAGCTATAATAAAAAAATATTTAGCAATAATTATTGGTTTTGAAACATGGTGTAATAATAACAAGGTGTTGTCAGTAACCTAACCTCACTTTTTCGGCAGGTCTATTCCGGTCACGCATTTTAAATTAGTAGAAAAGGTACTAATTATTTATTACTTTTAATCCGTTTGTGCATAATATTTCAAATTAAATGTAGGAAAATGTATAGTTACAGGCTTATAAGCCTGAATACATGTTTGCATCGTCAGCTCCACACAGCTTGGACATATCGAGCCATAACCGCCAAAATAACGTAAGCGACATTTTTTTCAAAACTTTCTTTTTGATGCAGAAATGCATCTAGATGCTCTAGGAATATTTCTGCATCAAAAAGAAAATTTTGAAAAAAATGTTGCTTACGTTATTTTCGCGGTTAGGGCTCGATATATTGTAAGTTATGAAAAAGTAAAGGCCGTAAAATAAAGCAATTTCCTATAAGACTGTAAATGATTTTTTAAATAGATTAAAACAAATAAATATCGATAATATAAGCGAAATCGTAATTTAACCATGCTGCCGCTCTATTCTAGTGTATCAGTAGTCCATTTGGCTCGATATTATGACAATGCAGCAAAATATATTTATTATAAAAAAGTCGCCTTTCCATACGATTTTTGTGTACGTATTTTTCAATTGATAGCCACGATATCTTTTATATTTTATATATTGAGGATAAAAATTATACAAATCCAGCAATTTTAAATATTAATATCGTTCTGAAAACACCAAGTTCTTTAAAAATCGCTATAAAACGAAATACTAAAATGGAGTATTTTAGATACTATTTCCCAACGAATAGTAATATAAACATTAAGATCAGCAGCACTGAAAATAAGCATGCCGATCTTGACAAAGTTACAACAAACACATCGCTACTGACAACACCTTGTTATTATTCCACCATGGTTTTGAAATATTTTTATTTTTTTGGTATCGGAGACCTACCCCAACCTTCCCCCGTAAATTTCGTTCTCGCTACGCCCATGGCGATGGCGACTAGGGTAAATTCGATATTCGTAGCTTCGAGATTCGAATTTTAATCTTCGTATATAAAAATCGATATTTTCGATGCAATTGAATTAAAAATATACCATAAAATAGAACACTTGAACTTCGATACATGTGGTGACGTGCAATAATGTCAATGACAATAATACACAGGCCAAAAGTGAAATAATGTCAATTGACATTAAGTCACTTTTGTATTGATTCAACCTCTAAAAGTGAAATATGTAATGTTATAAAAATAAATTTTGTTATTTAGACTTAAATTCACAAAATAAAAGTGTGTTTATGTCATGGAATAATGGCCTGTATATTAAAGTCATTGACATTAGTTCATTTTTCAATTGTGTATTAATATCAGTGGCATTAATTCCATTTCCATTATTGCACGTCACCATAAATGTTTTAGTATTATCTCGCAGTGAAATGTATTTATGTATTTAAGTAGTTGCACATCAAAGCTACACAAGTAAGTTCATAAAAAATAAATAAGATTTCAGATGCTTTATGATCTTAATACTTTATCTAACGCTTGGTTTTCATTATGCCGAAATTACTGACATTAAAAACTGCCTTAACTAACAGCTGTTCTCTTGTTGTGAAACACATCATAGGAAATGACCAAATGTAGATATCGCAGTGCATGTCAAAATGTCGTAAAAGTTTGGTGTCAGGTGATTGACATTCCGTCTTTCATCACTGATGTTAAATGTGAAGTGATATTTTTGGCGTAATTCGGCAGTTTAGCTATGGACAAACCAAAAATGTGGCTCAATAGAACTCTTCATGTCCTATTATCAATTTTATTCCTTGTTTACTTAAAGATCTCGCTTTAAAAAGCCAAATTATACGTTGTCATTAAATGTAAGACTTTTTACTCGTTGTATAAGTACACACATACATGCCTATGATTACATAAATATGTAGAAATTTCTTTTGTTTTTGCAAAGCAAAAAAAAAAAACTAAATAAAATCACGTTATACGTCCCAAAAAATTAGTTTCAATATACTAAATTTGCTAAATTTTTGGATTCATTTTCGAAATCTTGTTTGAGATATTAATTTGAAAACAAAATACTTATTTGTATTTATTTTTGGTTGTAAAGCTAAGAAAAAACAATTTGGATAGTTAATCAAGTTCAACTGAATCTCTTTTTCGATTTGCTTTATCATCCTCACAAACAAACTTTTAAATTTTCAGCAAATTTCTTTTTTTAAATTCGAAAAAGTTCGAATTAAATCAAATTTGCACCATAAAATTTCGTATCGAATAATCGAATGGTTGGGCAATGTTCGAAATAACAAAAAATCGAATTTCAACCACCCCCCCTACCCATCCCTAATAGCTACATGCATTTTTTAACGGGACAGCGACAACATGCTTAAATGAAGAGGAGCAGCCTTATATGTCGCTCGAAAAATAGAAATAGATCTAACATGGCTACAACCACAGTCGCGGTGTATCCTGTCGGCGCCAAAATAATTTTCTACGTCTCTTGCGTTAAAATAGTTCGACAGCTGTGGTACGCAGCGCGTCCTTTTCAATGTATTTCAAGCATCTGTACGTTGGTTTACATTGCGTTGTTGCTAAAATTTCAATCACTTTTCATTAACTCCTTTAAATGTTTAGTTTTACCCGAATTCCGCTAGTAAATGTTTGGAAATAAGTATTAGAGTACCCGCTGTTAATAAATAATAATGATTCCATATAATTTTTATGTGCATGTATTTACTACGTTTGTCAGCAAATATAACATACATACCTTTCGATTTATTCGGTCAATTTGCCTGTTTTGGTTTTCTAACTCGGATCCCATATCCAAAGCCATATTTCGAAGATTACCGATCATTGTGTTTACTTGACCCATATTTTCCTCCATTTCATCTTCACGTGCATCATTTGTTATTCTTAAAATAAATTCGGAATAAAAAAAATAGTTAATGTACAACTGCATGTTAAGAGCACTGAAATAGATGTAATGATCAGCTATGGGAACGTACCGATACTACGGGACCCACTTTTTGCAATTTTTAACCCCACCTCCCCCCTCGGTGACCACGCGTAGGGATGGGTAAATACGATATTCGAAGCTTCGAGATTCGAACTTTAATCTTCGGATGAATACGAATTTTTCTAAAAAAATCGAATTTCGTCTTTATTTGCAAAAAAGCTGCTCTGCAACTTTCTTCTTTGTGGCTAAATTTGGCATCATTGCGTGTGGTACCATATTTGCCTTACAGGCTAACCTAATATTCGCGGCTTGCGTTTTGGTACGCATGCCGTCGAATTTGTTTTTTTGCGTCACCCGAAATTGGCTTGCGTGCGTTTGCATTTGATTTCATTGAGCGAAACGTCAAATCAAAATGTCACGCAGAACAAAAATTGGAAATTGAGTTATTATTAGAGTGCATGAGAAATTTTTGAAAATAAATTGGCGGCGTGCGTGAATATTAGGTTAGCCTGTTAGGGATGCAAGTAAATATAATACATCGACGTTTTTTCGATCTGATGCAACGAAATATTACATCGATGCATCGTATATAAAAATTGGTATTTTCGATGCAGCGATTGAATTAAAAATATACAAGAAAATAGGACACTTGAACTTCGATATATACATATATTCCAAGACCCCATATAAATATGGCTTGAATCATTTCTTACTAACAGAAAGGTAAAAAAAATGTATTTGGCTTATATTTGTCTTTATTAACACGGCGCTTGCTGCGTGACGGCAAGAGTACTTGCATACCTATAATTACAAGTGGAAAAAATATTATCAAGATAAAACAGATGTCAAAACAGAGGTCTTGTTATTTTTATTAACCTTTATTTTCCATCTCAATCATCTCCAACAAACACGTTCCCAGCATCAATTCACTCGGATATATCGTAGATCACGGGGGCGATAACATCGGGAGTTTCCTCAGACGTGATTATTATCTCTTCATTGACAGCCTCGACGTCTATCCACTCCACGCATTCCTTCACGACACACAAGGCCTACCTACTGTGGTCTCCTGGAGAGAACACGCAGAGGGGCACGTTTTTTCGATGGTTGCGTAAAGAAATTTCTGAGGCAAAATAAAGTCCACAAATTGAGGATGTTCTTCCGGTGATCTCGGTTTTAATAGATGGGCGGTATGTATCGTAGGGTATTTCTCTACCCTGTGAGAGATCCGGGCGTAGTGTTATACATTGCCGCGCAAGCAATGATGGAAAAATTTCCGATCTGACTTCATCTCGGTTTAGTACATCGAACGGGGTTTGTGACATCGGAAAAGGTGCCGGCAAAAAGCCTTGGTACAGAATAGTATTTAGTGAACTTCGGCAAGGAGCACAGCAGGAATCATCGGCACACTTAATTATTTGAAAACAATATTGACTTTAACGAACGTGATTCCCATACCAGATGTCAGAAACTTGTGTAGGTTCCGGAAGGAATTATCCAGGAGGCACATATACTGCTATCACGTTGTGGCCGTCAATAACTATCTGGGACCAAATCTCAGCTAATATTTCGCCTAAAAACAACATAAATTAAAATTTAGGTTTTAATATTTTGGTAATAGAGAATACTGTATGCCACTCTATTAAAATATCTATGCATGCTGAAAGTTTTTCAATTCTTGCTCAATGAGAATCGAGATGGGACACGTAGTGTTCATTAGGAAGTACTACCGTGGCGAGCTCACGGCTCAATGGTGCCATCCTTCGCTTCACTCGGTTGTAAGCCGATCGACCGGGTGCATTCGTAAACACAAACAGCCCGCCTAAATCGCACCCTTTTTATAGCGTGGATTTTCATCGGGTCCTCCATCCACTGACAAAATCATTACCGCCTTGATTTCCCTATCCTTTCCTAAGGCCAGATTTTTAAAATCATCTAATGTGAGAAGTTTGATAATGTCTTTGTCGTGAGTTGTTGCTTTGCTCTGCTTTCCACTGCGGATTACGATATACGCTAGACCAGAATATGTAACCGCTTCTTTTCTGCCTATGCAGTTCTCTTTGATTATGATACCAGCATATGGAGTCAGTTGATGGCGTAATCCAACAGTAAAGTCATGGTCATCGAGGCGAACTTTATAATTCATATGCATTAAAACATGTGCCTGTACTTTTGCAGCTGTTTTTCCATTCGGTACCTTTGCTTTATCATCTTGAGAGATAAAAACTACCTGGTCAGGCCCAAGTATAGATGCAAGTTCCTCGAGACCGTTGGCAGTAGACTTGCAGAAAAATTGATCGACATGATCTCGGTGTCTATCTGTTTTTGCTCGACACAGCCTCACAGGTACAGTTGTAACATGGCGCTTGCCCTCTAAAGATCCAGCAAACTTTGGAATCTGCCTACGGTATGCGGATGTTCGCGAAATAAAAAATGCATCTTCAACAAGCCGTGCATGTAATTCATCGAGAGTCGTACAAGTTCTCAATACTTGTGATCGACGTCGATCAGCAGCTGAGCTTCCATGTGTTGCTATGTCACAAATTGCTTGATGAAGGCCTGACTGATTTTCTGCAAGTGAAGGGCGTCCTGGCTGAGTACGTATAGACGAAGATTGCACGTTGGGATGAGCGGATTTCAGGCTCATAACTTCAGTTTTTTGGTTTTTCCCTAAATTTTCGCATATTTTCTGCTCGTACTACTTTGTTTTTTAACACTTTTTTCTTCACATCAGTATCATGCCTTAATTTTTTCATTTCCTTCTCAATCCCGTCTTTTCCACGTCCCGCATCTCGCTTTCTAACATTTAGTTCGGCTTCAAGTACTGAAATTTCAGATTTTAAAGCATCCTGTTTTGGTGTCAGAGCTTTTGTAGATACAGATGAAGAACGTATTGAAACAGAAGAGTGGACGGAAAATTCATTGAATTCAGGCTAGAAAAAGAATGTAACCAGTATTGTACGACTACCCATAAAATTAAAAAATCCAAATTTAAGCTACGAAAGTTGAAGAAAAAAATACATCGACATTGGCAGAGCAGAAAGTGTTTGATTATATATAGTAGTATAGTAGTAGTATAAGTAGAAACAGACTCTTCTGTAGTGTTGTTATTAAAATCTTCGGTGTTGGGAAGCTTTTTGAGATCACCTTGAGTGGCTGAAGCTTTTCGTGCAGGTAGCTACATTCACCAAATACAAAAAAGAGACGCACATCACCAATGTTCAAAAATTCAAACAATATAAATCATTTAAAGCATTTAAAGAAATACGCTGAGAATATTCACCTTTACGAAGAAATTGAGGGGACGAGCATTTTTCTTAGTCGCAATTTGACAATGTTCTTCGATTTTTAATTGTGTGAGACGCTCCAGCTCCTTTGGGTTGTTTTTGTACTAATCTCTCAAAGACACCCAAAATTCAATCGTCTTTTTCTGTATTGTCTGCATTGAAAAGGAATCCTTGAGAAATTTAATAAACGCATTGGACAGCCGATCGTACAACGACATTTAATGATATTTAATAATATAATAGAAGGACCAAGAGCTGCTTGCTTTAAAAAAAAAAAACAGAAAAGTGTCTATTTTGCTATTTTGTAGTCAGCAATTCAAACTATCAGTTTTAAATCAGCTGACGTCTCGGCATATGTTCCTAAGTGTTGCCATCAGCGAGTTTAAGAAGCGCCAAACACTGCGCGCCATATTTGAATGTAGCTCGAAAAAAACGCTAGATTTTCCTAGTGGATACTGACTACATGATAAAAACCTAAGCCCCCCACCCCTGACTGTGACCAAGTGTGGTATTTGGGAGATGCTGCCATTTGCTAATTTTCGATCGAAGTGAAAACACACTAAAAGTGAAAGTGCTGGAATATCTTTAAAATCACAATGTTTCAAACGCTGAGGAAAGAAAACCTAAAATTACAGTTCTGATGAAATTAACACTAAAATATAATTAATCGATTATCGATTCACATCAGCAATGTCATCACCAGATACACAGCACCAACGGAATCATCAGATTCACTTATATGTTTCCTTTTTGCTGTAAAATTGAAGATGTATGAAAACTAAAATAAAATTGTTATTTTCGTCAAATATGTACTAAATTATTATAATACTTTACCATTCATTTATTTCAAAGCTATTTTTATTAATTTTGAAGATGAATCTAATATGTGGAAAGTGAAGTAAAACGAAGTAAAATGAAGTGAGGAAGTGAAGGCTTCCAAAGTGAAGTGAAAAACTTCAATTGAAGTGACAGCGTCAGCACTGCTATTGAAGCAAATTTATTTAAAATCGATGATTGCAATTACCGCTTAACAGAAAATTATATTATTATAAACCACAATGGTGTATCTCGGTAACGGATCTATCAATTTCAACCAAACTCGGTGCACTTAATAAAAGTGGTACGGAAAAATAATTCGTTGAAAATTATTCAAATCGGACTAAAATTACACCCGCTTCCCTTATAATGGCAAATTTCATAAATACGAAAACTCCTATATTTCAATAACTGAGGCAACTAATTTACTCCAAGTTAATAGTAACAACAATCTCTTAACAATAAATAAGACTACTATAGACTCTTGGGAATTGGGCATGGCACTGCCCACTTTATGAATACATAGGTGTATCTCGGTAACCGCTTTATCGATTTTTACCCAAAATTGGTTCAATTATATCATTAGTTCTAACTCAGCACATTATCGAAAACGTATAAAATCGGGGGAAAAACACCCCTACTTATCATGCAAAGGTAGTTTAGAGAACGTTGAAACGACAATATTTGATACTTGCGCCCAAACTTATACTTCTTTTTTTATTTTTTATTTATTTTTTTTATATTTTATTTTCCTTTATAAAAGGTATAACTTTACGACTTAAAATAGGTGTTTTTGTTAACAACAAAGAAATAAGACTGTATTGGGTTTAGATTATTATTCATTTTAAAACAATATTTAAAATAAACAACAATAGGTTATTAAATCATTATTTAAAATAA